TTTTTTTTTTTCTGAAATAGTTTTATTCTTGTATGGCTGGGTATTTAAAAATGTAATTGAGTAAGTCTGAATGAAAAGGTACTGGTAAAGTAAGATCTGGGGTTTCGAACATCCCGACACGCGCACGTGATTGGACAGATAGTGAGGCTTCAAAATTATGAATGCTGCATTAAATTTGTCAACAAACAGTTGCTTTTGTTTTGATTGTGTGGCTCAAACTTTTTTTTTTACACATTATAAAGCCTACATTTATATTAGTTTGATAGACTTTAGTTTGCACATTATTTGGATCTAAACATTGGGCAAGGTGTCAAAGAGACGCAGGAAATAATAGAATGCTTTCTCCTTTATTTCTCATGAAGAAATAACCGATTTTCAAAGTAATCTATTAAATCATGAATAAACAGTGTAAAGCATATCCCATATTATCCTTTAGTCTCAGTGTTGGTGTATAGTCGTATATTGTTTTAGGAGCCAGCCATTCTGTGCCTACATCTTTGTAGTCTTTGCTTGTGACACTCAACATAACAATTCTGTCATCGTTCACTCACCCGTCCTCGTTCATTTCTGAAACACAAACGAAAACCTTTCTAATGGAATCTGAGAGATCTCTGTCTTCCACTGAAAGTCCATGCAACCAACACTCTGATGCTTCAAAACGTTTATTAAGGCGTTGTCAAACTAATCCAGTAATCAAGCCGTTTAGTCCAAGTCTCCTGACTTCTTTGAGATGTTGTTGACCTTATTTACTGAGCTGTATGTGCGTGCATTGATCAGCAGTAATATGGGAATAGAAGCTTACATTCATTCTGGGATTAAACGTTTGATTCTGAATTCTGTTAGCTACTGTCTTTATGAACTTTTTGAAGTGCCATAGCTTTGGTTACATGGACTTTCAACAGGTTTAATTTACAATATTTTAATCTGTGTTTACAAGAAACACTCAAATCTTTTAGATTTGTAATGACATGACATAAACTCCTTACTCTTAAAATTTATAAATTTCACTAATTTTATGACTCATTTTAATTTCATTTACATTACACTATATACACACACATTACATTAGTTATACATTTGAATGCCAAGCCAAGATAAAATAAAGAACAACAATATTACATACATGCAGGGTAGAGAAACACAACACTAGCTTAATGTGCCTATTACCAAAGATTTTAACATTTAAAATGTGAATAAGCAGTTTAATGATAAAGTCTGTTATTGTTGTGTGAGTAGTTAAAGTTATGGAGGTCTGGTCGTGTCGCTCCGCCCTGAGATCAGACAGGAAGTGAATGAGACAGACTGAGAACAGGCCACAGTTTCATGAGATCAGCTCCTCAAATATCAGCTGAGCTCAACACACACTCCAGAAGCCAGCAGGACACCTCTGAAGCGCGGCAGACGGAGGAAGGGATGAGACGCGCGCTGTACTCTTCTAAACTAGTTTAACTAGCGCTACACGCGAGCAGAAGAAACCTGGTGAGTGT